ACTATACTCCACTCACCCTCAAGTGGTCATCTTTTTAAATCCCTGAATCAGAATCCCTCTGGTTCCACAGCTTGTAAGTGACAAAATTACAGAAAAAAATATGATGTGGCAGTTCCTGACCATATATTTTTGTAGTTTCTTTCTGACATCTGACATTACAATTTTGTTCCCATTTCAATCTATAGCGTCAGGTGTGTGTGTGGTGGAGTATGTGAGAGTGTGTGTGTGTGTGTGTGTGTGTGTGTGTGTGTGTAAAGACACTGAAAAGAATATTTAAATTTGGGATAGAGAGTTGAAAATATGATAAAGGATAACTGCTTATGAGGAAGTATCAACCAGGAACTTTTTTGGATATATAAAGTCTTTGTTTTTCTAGATTTTGTTTCTTTGAGGTACATCCATATGACACTTGGATGTGAGATTGTTGGAGCCGCCGAAACTGGTTTGGCTCAGTGGATAGAGAGAGCATCAGCCTGCGGACTGAAGGGTACTGGGTTCGATTCTGGTCAAGGGCATGTACCTTGGTTGCGGGCACACCCCAGTAGGGGGTGTGCAAGAGGCAGCTGATCGATGATTCTCTATCATTGATGTTTCTAACTCTCTATCCCTCTCTCTTACTCTCTGTAAAAAAAATCAATAAAATATATTAAAAAAAAAAAGAAATTGTTGGAGCCTATCTTGCAAAGTGAAGGTCAGAGAGCAGAACTAAACCAGGGTTTAATTCCTAACATAATAAGGTGTAAAACACTGTAGCAGAAGGAACAGTGTTCCCCAAGAGTGGTAAACATGCTCATGTTGGTTTATAGAGTACATGGTCAAATGCTTTTTATTTCCAACTGCTTGATGAACACATAATTATGTTCATTTTAACATGTATTAGGCTATGATTTCTGTACATTATTTAGTTATATAAATATGTGTATCATTTAACTATACAAATTATGATATCATGTATATTATTGCTTAGAATAATAGTGATAGTAAATTTCCTTAATGTCATTCAACTAAAGGAAGTCAGTTGGATGGAAAATACTCAGTGAAAATGTGTGGGTGGCACACAAATATGATGAAAGCTATGAAAGAGGCGCATAAATTACTGAGGTTTGAGAAATGCTAGTCAGAGAACTGGATATTTTCTTTTAAACTAAACACTTGCTACTGTCATTGTTTTATGAATGAAAGTGTTAAGAAGTAGAGTTGCATACGTTATTTGTTTTTAAAGTGCATGAGATGAGGGTGTCCTGAGTATCATCAACCATGTTCCTGTGCTAAATCAACCATTCTGTTGTGGACTGTGAGAGACGCTGTGTTTGTTCATAACTCCGGGAGGTGTATAATGAATGTCTACAGCACAGTCTTTCACAACAGCACTATGCAAAGTAGGAGCATGAAACATAGGATTGGTCCAGGAGCCTGGATCGCTGCACCGGGCCTGCAGTAAACTAGTTCCCCATGCTTTGTGCTGGCATCAGGTGACCTAACGGCTCTTGTTTTTGCTGAGCTACATGCAACATCTCGCACCAGATTGATTGGCCTGGCAAAGTTGCAAATTTTATTACGTAAAAGTTGAGAAGGAGCAAAGCTGAAGAGTGCTAAAAACAGTACACTTTGCTACTGTGTAGTATCTGTATTTGGGGCTCAGAGTGTTTATTTATAGATATCTATTAATACATAGCAAGAGATACAGAAAGAAACATAAAAATACTTTTATCAAATAGTTTCGAGAAATCAAGTGTAATAACAAAAGAACAGTAATAGCAAACTGTTCTACTGGGGGGAAAAGCCATCCTCGTCACGTCTTCTCTCCCTTCCCTTTCCTCTCTGAGGACTGAGGCTAAAAGAGCCCCTCCCTTCCTCGGTCTTGGAGGGGTCGGGTGTGGAGGGAGGTGGGATCTCCAGGTTTATACCTTTGTCCAACTCTTTTAACCTTCTCCTCTCCTACCTCCCTCTCTAGCAATGCTTCAAGTGAAGGAGAGGTGGGAACTTCCAGCTTGTAAAACTGGTTTGTTGGGCTTCTTTCTCCTTCCCCTCTCTTGCTTCTTGGGAAACTTACTTGCTGGGCAGCTGCCTGGCAGTGCCATAGCTGCCTTTTCTGGGTTTGAAATGGCTTCTCCTCCCTTCTAAAGAGGCCAAAGAGGCCACCGTGAGAGGTGGAGATGGGGAAATGGGCAAGAGGCAGATGCACTACTCCCCATGACACACAAAGAGAGAGAAATGGAAATACACATGCAGACACAACTGTACACATGTTGGGAACTTGGGATTCAAAGAGGTGGGCCAAGTACTTGGAACGATGGGACCCTCCCAGGTCTGAAACCCCATATGTTTACTTTAGCAGAGCCCTAGGAGGCCCAGGGTGAGGAGTGTGGGGCCAGATCACTGCCACCCACTTTTTGTTTTTATAATTAAAATACATTCACAGGGTTTTACAGGATGACACAGACAGGAGATGAGAGGAGGGAGGGCTGTGGGAAGGCGTGTGGGCAGTTTAATTTTGCTTCATTTCTCCACCTACTTGATGGTTGGGTGCGTTGGCACCTGCAAGGGCAGCCTTACCAAGGTGGGGGTGACTGTGTAGAGACGAGCTTCCCTGTTGGGGGATAGCCCAGGCTGGACCCAGAGAGACTGGAAAGGGTGAGGGCCATTACTTCTAGGGAGAAGCTTAGGACAGGTTGGTCCTGGCTGTGACCAGTGTTTTGTCAAAGTTGCAAGGAGGTAAAAGAAAGAGTAAGAGGGGAAACCCTGTCAACACGCATTTCCCACACCACCTTTCCCTTCAGGGACAAGCTTGGATCTTGTGAATGTGGTGTCAGCTCTCCTCTGCTGTCCTTGTGGACTGCTGTGGGGAGCAGTTGGCTTCCTGCTTGTTGCCACCCAGGCCTAGGGATAGCTGTGCCCTCCCCAGCCCCCAGGGTGGGGCTGAGGTCAGCATAGGGAGCAGGCAGAGGGCCAAGGCAGAACTCCAGGGGAGTGGGTGTGGAGGGAGGGTCTCTGCCTCTCCCCGAGCTCCAGCTTTTGCTGGGTGGCTCTTTTAGGGGCCAGATCTTACTATGGAACTGACACTGATACTGTTATTGTCTCCTCAACTGTGGTGGCTCCCAGGGAGATCAGGGGACCCCAGTGTGCTCAGGTCCACAGCTTTGGTGTTGGAATAAAATGTGTCCTTTTCATTCTAGAGGTGAAGGGCAGGCAGGGAGAAGGAGGAAGAAACCATTCTTGAGTTCCTCGTGAGTACGGGAAATGGGTTCACAGTTGAATCCTCTCCACTCTCCCTTCCACAGGTGAGGGCATTGGAGTGAAAAGGATGAGGACATGGAGGAAGCCTCTATCTGATGGAATCCCTAAGTGCCAGATGTAGACTCATCCTTTCCTGTGCAGAGAAGATGCTCTGAGTTCATCCCATTGGCTTTCGCAGTGCACTGTGGGGGAGTTGGTGAAGCATGGGAATTCTGGATGCCTGAGTTTTGTTACTTGAAAAATGAGGCTAATTGACAATACTAGTGTCTTACATTTGTGTTTTGATTTATACATTACAGCATGTTGTCACCTCTTCAATAATTGCCCTGTGGGTACCTGTGGTGTGTGTGTGTGTGTGTGTGTGTGTGTGTGTGTGTGTATTTCAAGGTTAAACAGACAGGACAATGCTTTGATAATGTAAATGCATTATCAAACGTGAGGCATTATCTGGACCCTTTATTCAGCATCCCATTTCTCCTTTCCACATTGCAATTTACCGAGAGCCCTGACCAAGAACACCCCTTGGCCCTAAATGAAAGAGGCCAAGAAAGGAATCCAGAAAAGGTGTCCCCGTGCAGGGAGCAAATGGCATATTCTGAGGGGCACCCCTTACCTACGTGAGGCGCCATGCTTGTGCTGCTGCAGCTCCTACCTCCTTATGTTATTTGGAAGCCAAGGCTTTTATTGTCTGTCCCCACACATCAGCCCTTTGCTCTTCGTCTCCCCCTGGCGTTCCTCTTCTGCTATTTCTTAAGATCAGTGTTGAACGCGGTGTTCCCTGAGGGAGAGAAAGGTGGGTACAGAGAAACCTTGTGGGGTTTCTCACCGCTAATACTGAAAGATTAGGTATGACCTGAAAGGGATCTATTTTTTTTTTTAAACTTTCATTCCTTGCGATGACCTTTTTCACCGTGGACGGCAAAGAGATTCAGCAAAAAAAAAAGACTTTTAGGGGAGGGGCTTGAAGTAAGAGAAAAAAGTTGGATATCTCCTAAATAATCTGTCCCCCAGCGGGGGGCAGTGACTAGGGAGAGCGCTCCCTTGTTGAAGCGATCGGAGGGACATAAAAGGAAAATGAAGCGGACAACAATTAAAAAAAAAAATCCCCCGCACACAATACAATCTATTTAAACGCACTCATACTTTTCATACCAAGGGCATGACTTTTCTGGAGTCCCTCTTGTGGTTCTTGAACTCTGGGGCTGGCAGCTGGCAGAGGGGAAGCAGACGGCAGCGCCGCACGGGCAGGTCTGCCTGGTCTCCAATGGGCATTTTCTTTCTCCTGGCCCTGCCCCCGGACTGTCAGACGGCGGGCGTCTGCCTCTGAAGTCAGCAGCGATTTCCTCTAGAGCCCGGCCTTATCTCCGGCTGCACGTTGCCTGCTGGTGACTAATAACACAATAACATTGTCTGGGGCTGGAATAAAGTCAGCGCTGTTTACCCCCACTCCATAGGGGTTCAATATAAAAAGCCGCCGGAGAGCTGTCCAAGTCAGACGCGCTCCTGCATCTGCTGGGGCAAGTGAGCGAGCGAGCGCCACGAGGGTCCTCGGTCCGGTCTCCGCTGTTGCTGTCCCCCAGCCGCCCGCTGCGCCCTCCGACCGCTCCGCCGCCTCACTCGCCGCAGACACTCCTCTCTCCCCGCGGAGGAGCGCCCAGGCTGACGGATCCACAGCCACCAGAAGCGCTTTGAGGGAACTGAAGCTGCTTCTCTGCGTTCCTACTATTGGGTTTAGTTTGCAGGGAATTCTGATTGTTTTCAGGATGGATTATTTCCCCGTGATCCTCTCTCTGCTGTTCGTGGCTTTCCAAGGAGCTCAAGGAACAGGTAAGGAGCCTTGGCTTGTAACTCTCTCGAAAGGCGAATGCCTTCTTATCCTCCTTAAAGCTTCCCTTGCTTCTGTTTTTCCCCTTCTTTTTATTTCTGTAGCTTAGATATCAAGTCACTGGGAATTATTACTCAAAACTACTTAAATTTTCTAGTGGGGAAAAAAAATCCACTATTGAACACAATTGCTCCTGTAGCATTGAAAGGGCATTATGGCTACTGCACAGTGTACTTAGGTGGCTTATAACAATGAATCCAAGAAACATAGAGACAAGATATAATCGAGCCAAATGTGCATTTGCAATGTATGTGTTCATACAGGTAATGGGATGCATAGGAACGGATATCTTATTCAAACGCTGCTTTATTAGTGTGTTAATCTGCAAAATATTTAAACATTTCAGCTTGAAGCCAAGGAATTTTATTCAGGCCATTCAAACAATATTTGAGCAGTAAAATCACCTGCAGAACAGTCTGTTGAATAACCCCCCCCCCCCCCCAGGCAGTTTCAGGGCGAAGCAGATGTTTTCTTTAAAATGTGTCATTATTGACTGTAGGTTTCTTTTGGCAGATTTTTGGCACCCAGAACAGTGTGAGCTCTATCTTCAGTTTTGTTCACCTGTCCTGGCAGGGGAGCTGGGATAAGTCTTGGCTGCTTACAGATTTAAATAGAACGTGTGCATCTGCCCAGTCCCCCTTCTGGGGTCAATGCACTTGTTTTGTCTTTTCATGACCCTGACTAAAGAGAAAGGATGTCAAAGGAATGAAAATCCTGGAATGTGTCTGATCATGTGAAATGTACAAAATCGGGCAGATAAGCTGCACGACTAACTCGTCAGGAAGCAGAGCCCGTGCTGCAGCAAGAGGGGGAGGCGGTGATCCCACACATGCCCGCTGCCCTGGGGACTCTGAATTCAGCATCCCCAGAGCCTTGGCTAGGTCCCCTGAGCCACTGCTCAGCTTCACCTTAGGTCAGTGGTTTCTGTGGAGGCGACGGCCTGGAATAAATATGAAGAGCGGATTTCTCTTCTTTGCTTCCAATCATCCCCCCAAAGTTCTTGACCTCCCCCTAATTTCCAAGGGTATATATCGCCTGGGCCACTCTCTGTCCTACACACATGTGAAGTAGTGAGTATGCCCTAAACAGAAGGTCATTGTGCATGGGATAGAGGCTCCAAACCTAGGAACAGGCAGGGGATTTACTCAGTTCTAGCCTTTTTGTCATCAATTTGTAGCCACTGCAGGTTGAGCTGTCTGTCCTACTAAGTGTCATGCAGAAGTCAACCCAGATTCTAACAGGCAGCATTTCCACGCATTTCCTTGAAGGTTGCCTCGAAGGGGCTGGTAACTCCCTTTCCAGGTGGTTGTTTCTTCTGCACTTGTGTAATCTCTCTGAAGGTCGATAAGGCAGTGGGGTAAAGGTGAAGTCATGTAAAGGAGGGAATAAATAAAGAACCCTTTCCCCCTGGGTTCCCTGCTGAGGGCAGGCTGTAGGCTCTGTCTGCTCTGCTCTGCTCATCCTGGCATCAATCCTGTGATGCAACACACCCCTGGCCTCCAATGGGATGCCCCCACTGACCTGCTCTATCTCTCCCCAGCCATCTTGGGCGCTGAGCTCAGCACGGGAGCGGACAGCGGAAGAGAGGAACCCTCTCCCAGTGCACCCCGCCGCTCCAAGCGCTGCTCCTGCTCTTCCCTGCTGGATAAAGAGTGTGTCTACTTTTGCCACCTGGACATCATCTGGATCAACACTCCCGGGTGAGTCTCTAGAGGGCATTGTAACCCTAGTCATTCCATCGCTCTGCCTTAGCCAGAGAGGGGAGCCCAGTTACTCCAGTTACTGTTCTGGGAAGCATGCAGTTTGCTTTTCTGACAACATGTAAGTGACCCCTTGGGAGGGGACAGTGCCCCTCCATTCCTGAAAAGACAAGGCAGCATGGTTCTTAGCAGCAGAAGGGAGTGTCTTCTGAGGCCTGTGGCTCAGACTACTCACGGCAGGAAGACTATGAAAGAGCTGATAGCAAGCAGAAGGCTGCCACAAATTTCTGAGGAGAGACTTCAAGCTTGGGGACTTGGAGAAATGCTCTCTCAATGGGACCTGCTTGGTTTTAGGGAATAAGGTTCTGAGGTCATATGGCTTCTCATGGGAGGGTAAAGTCTTAAGAGGCAGAGAGATCAAAGAGATTCATAATCTAATCCTCCACTTTATATTAATATATACAAAAATGGAGATCCAAAACATTGAAGCCACTTGTACAGGAAAGAGTTAATGGCAATGCTAGACTGAGAACCCGAGAGTCCTGACTCCTCTGCACTTGGCTGTTAGAAAAGCCCATTTCAAGGCAGTAATAGAAACATGGTCCATAGATGTCCCTTTTGTCTCAAGAGTAAAGAAGGCACTTTCTACCCTTTTCCCCTGAAAAGTAGTTTGTCCATCAGAAGCACATTTATAGTGGCTGCAGGGCCCCAGGATAGTAAGGGATGACCAAAATCAAATCAAACTAAACAAACCTCCACAAGCCTAATATTTAGTGAGGTGGGTAATTCATCCAAGGGAAGGACTTTATTTCTTAAGCAAGAATCAAAACGAGCACATTAGAAATTACTGGAGAGCATTCTGGCAAGGAGTCCTTCTATGGGCATATCAGCAAATTGCAGATGTGCCAATCTGGGCATCCTCCCGCCTCCTCAGAGGGCACTTCTAACCTTATCATAGGATCTGGATTGAACATAGGTATTCCAAGTCTATGAGTCATGGTTTTTAGGTCCCTATACCCCAATACCTATTGCTAAATGGAATGTTAGAAAAGGAAGGAAATATGAAACAGATACTAAAACAGAGATGTCATAATTTTGGACCAGAAAACAATGCTGTTTGTGTGGAGAAGAAATTGAACTTTGTTAAGAAATGGAATCGAAATGAATTAGAAAAACTGGTTTCTCCTGGTTGGGCGCATACACTCAGGGCCCCTGACAGACATGGGATCCTGACTTGCCACCTCATGCTTCCCAGTTTTGCTACCAAACAGCCTGTGGTGAGCTCCGTGAGTTCCAATAGGACGAGTTTACCTCATAGAATGCAGCGTTTTGAAAACTATGAATCATGCTAATAACTTTTGTTTTTCTATGATAATAGGAAAATTGTTCCATATGGACTTGGAAACCCTCCGAGGACCAAGCGATCCTTAAAGGATTTATTTCCTACAAAAGCAACAGACCGGAGGGACAGATGCCAGTGTGTCAGCCAAAAAGACAAGAAGTGCTGGAATTTTTGCCAAGCAGGAAAAGAACTCAGGTGAATAGAAAAATATCTTTGCTTTCAAACAGTTGTATGTTCTCCTGACCTCCTTCCCCTTATAATGCTTCAAATAAGAAGCACAAACTTTCAGGAGTAAAATAAGTAAGCCATGGGGAGGTAGTATATAGGACAGAAAAATACTAATAATATCGTAATAACTTGGCACAGTGACAGATGGGTACTAGACTTACGGTGTTGATCACATCTCAAAGTCTATAAATGTTGAATGACTATGTTGTACACCAGATACTAATATAGTACTGAATGCCAACTCTACTTTAATAAACATTTTTAAGAAAAAGAGATTGACAGAGACATTGTGAACAACTGAAGGTGCCGTTGCTGAAACGTTTGTCCCTGTGTACATTTTAACAGGCACCAAGACACTATGGAGAAAGTCTGGGATAATCACAAGAAAGGAAAGGACTGTTCCACGCTTGGAAAGAAGTGTATTCAGCAACAGCTGGCAGAAGGAAGAAAAATGAGAAGGTAAGAGGCTCCTAAGAACCACTAGTTCCACCACCAATGCTAATGGACTGCTCCCCCGGCCACTCTTAGCTTGACTGGAGAGCAGGCTTAGGAAACAATAACAAAGGGGATCTTCATAGCCTATAGGTTAAAACGAGCAGAGGAATCCCTCTCATATCTTTTTTTTGAAGGCTTTGAAAGCAGGTCGCTGCCCACTTTGGTGATCTTTTTCCAAACAAAGTATATCTTGAGACACCCTTGTCATTTGGTCATACCCAGTCTTTGCCTCTCTGAGTTAATAGATTTGCTACTTTCCCCGAGAACCTAAAAACCATTTCAGGGAGAGCTTTCTCCCGCTCCCCCACCTCCTCCTAAGTCAAAGTGTCATGTATGATCAAGTTCTTCAAACAGCAGCAGTTGTTCAGATGGCCAAAGGGAAAATAAAGTCATTAGGTAAGGTTGGTGAGAGTTAGAACATGCTGTTTTGAGAGTTTATTTATTTATTTTTTTATGAGGGAACACATTTGGTGGAGAGCCAACACCATTCCAAGAAGCTCACTCCTTTTCTTGTTAGGCATGAGGTGGGGCAGAGAGGGACCTGGGTCAGGCAACCCCATAGGCTTGCTTTGACAGCTCCACGGGGATGACCCTTTCAAACCCTACACATTGTGGAATTCGCAACCTGTAGGGAAGACACTTGCTTTCAGATCTGTCACATGTTCTCCACTTCCCTCTCATGGCCTGTGGAAACTTTTCCTAGAAACACAGTGGCAAGACGTTCTATGACCCAAGTGTTGTGCGCACAGGCCTGGCCGTCATGAAGTGCTTCTGGGTTGTTTACTACCAGGCATGCGACAGCGTCGGCTGCCTGGGACTCCAAACCTGCCAGTGCAGTTTCCCTAGTTATGATTTGAGGCCACTCATGCTTCCTAGATTTCAGGATTACACAAAGCACCGTTTCTGAACTGACCTGGAAATGATGTTTTATCAGTTTCTGTTATATAAACTATTATATTATGCAACTCATCCCTTTTTCTTTCTTCTGTCAAAACAAACTAACAAACAACAAAAATATTAAACCTTAAAAAAAAAGAAGAGTTTAATTGTCAACATTTGCTTTGGGCCTATGAATACACCTTTTACAATTTTTTTTCCACTAAGAGTGGGATGGGGATACAAAAAAAGAAAAGAGGATACCTTAAAATTGTATTTTAAAATTGTATTTAATACCCAATTACCTTTAGATATGAGCACATTATTCGTTCTCTCTGCACCCTTTCCCCATTTTAGGCACCAAGGCAGGCTTTATTTGCATCTGAGGTTAGCAAAGGGCCCATGGTGGTGAAAGTTCAGTAACCAGAATTGAATTTGTTTGTGCCAAACTCTAATTTTAGACATTTATTTTGCCCAGGAATGATTTAAAAAAAAAATCACATTTGTTTTCTCTTATCTTAATAGGTTGGAGGCCATCAGCAATAGCATCAAAACTTCTTTTCGTATTGCAAAGCTGAAAGCCAAGCTCTCCAGAGAGAAGAAAGTGACCCACAACCGAACACACTGATTACAACCGCCCCATCTGAAGCCTTCTCCTCCACAGAGACAGTGCGCTGCGCGGCTGACCGCTCTCTCTCCACACCGGCCTGCATCACAGCAAAAGCATCCTTCCTCCTTAGAGCATTTATTGCTCCAGACTGGCCCCAGATCAGCGTCCTCCTTCTAAACATTCCACAAACGCCCCAGCCCATCTTCATTTGCTTCCATCACTGGTCACTGCTTTTGTCTGTCCCCCTTTGGGGTGACAATGGACCATTCAGAGGAAGCAGAGCGACATGATGACTGTAAATTATGGTGGCAGACTCCACAGGGCGGAGAGGAGACTCCACTTGCAGGGGGGGTTCCTGACGAGGGTAGGAAGGAAGTGTCTTGTCTCACTCAGGCGCTCGGCACCGTTCAGGGAGAAACTGCATAGTCCGAGAAGAGATTGCCTAAGGAATGCACAAATTGAAAACATAATTGAGTTAAGAAAAGACACACACACACAACTCCAAAATCTTTATTTTTTAATTCACAAAATGCAAAACTGAAACTGTTACTACTATAAATCAGGATGTGTTTCATAGATATGAATCTACCTCACCAGTATTGCACTCTCGCACAAATATTTTCCCACCTTTAATTATTGCCTCCCAAACTCTCCCCGCTCCTGTTATCCTCTCCTCTGATACCTCCATGCTAAATCCTAGCCTCATAGAAGTCCTGTCTAATGTGTCGGTGGTGGATAGGACATTTTCATGGTAATCTGCCAGCTCTGGTCCATAAGGTCATTGAATCAGAAGATTCCCTTACCTTAATTTTTGGAAACACTATGGTATAGGGTTGTTTATGAAAGACATTGAAGAGTAAACATTGGTTATGCTTTAAAGCAGTAAAATTATTTTCCTTTATATAACTGGCAAATGGAAGAGATTGGATTACATTTTGATGTACTTATTTTTTTATAGATATTTATATTCAAACAATTTATTCCTTATATTTACCATGTTAAATATGTCTGGGCAGGCCATATTGGTCTATGTGTATTTTTAAAAATGTATTTCTGAATGAAATTGAGAAAATGCTTTGTTTTGCCTGTCAAGGTAATGACTTTAGAAAATAAATATTTTTTTCCGCTACCTTACTGATTTTGAGTTATTTCTGAAAATCCTAAGAAGTGGGCAGAGTGGTAAGAATTATGAAGAGGAAGGGTTAAAGATGGTTTGTAAGAAAGGTGACAATCAGAAGGAAAATAGCCTTAGCTATTTTCAAAAAAGAACTTGATCTGTAACCTAGTTGCCTTTGGATCACATTAAAGTAAAAACAAAGCAGAACCCAGCTTTAACTCCTCTGTCTTTCCCGAGTAGCAGCCTTCTGTTTCCATTCACCTGAAAACACTCTGGGGACTTAATTCATTAGCTTTGCTTAGGCTACTAGTCAGGATCCAGCAGTTTAAACTGATGTTGTGGTGAGAGGTGCTTTCTCCGTTAATGGACTAAAGGAAGCAATGGCAAGGCGACCCCTCCCCCCCAAGGTGACCAATTATACAGTTTTATACCTTCGAGAAAATGGCTTGCTCAGAGCAAGTTAGCTTCCTGCCCCCCCCCCCCTCGCCCCAATGGCTTTATATTTGCACAGATTCAGATTTTATTTATTCAGGAACACTGAATACCTTTGATTCTTCATGGTAGCCTTGGACTGGACACATGCCTACGGAGGCAGAGGAATTAAATGCTGATCCTAGGTCTCCTGCAGTCCAGCACCACCCTGCTCTCCACTCCACGGCAGCTGGCCTGGTAAGACCACTGGGGGAAATAATATTGTAAATGGCTGTTACCACCTGAAGCCCATAGAGCTTGATCAGCTTATGAGAATCTTCACCACCCTTCTCTGCTAGTGTCTGAAAGAATGTCTGGCATTCAAAAAATATTAGCTCACGGGGATCACTGTTGTTCAAACAGTGACGCATCTGAAAGATGTTAAATAACAGCCTTCAGGTGTGCTTCATGCTTTGTCAGTGTCCTGGGCAGAGTTTCTATTCTTACTGGCATTGTTTCCCATCTTTCACTTTTTTTTTTTTTTTTTTAAAGAGACAGTTCAATATCTTTGGGGAATTGCTTCTAAAGCTCACTTTATCTAGCGAACTGTTTTCTCAGTGTGTGGCTCCTGAGGAAACTGTGACAATTTGCACATTTTGACAAGGGACTTGGCTTGAATTTAGCCACCATTTCACCCTCAGTAACCATTCAATCCCCCTGCGTTTTGAATTTTCTCATCTGTTAAGGGGTTGGGAGTGTAGGTGGGGAATTTCTCTAACAGCTTCTAAAAAGGCTGAGACCAAAAACAAGTTGTGTTGGCACACAAGAGTGAAGGTATGAGCTTGGAGGACATGGTCTAATACTTTTAAGAGGGATTGTAAGGGGAAGAAACCACTGAGGAAAGAACAAAGGTGATAACATTTTCTTCCTCTTCCTTTAAAAACCATATTTGGACTTTTAAAGCCTCCTCCCCTAAGTTTCCTGCTTGAGTAACTGGCAAGAAAAGGAAAAAGAATGGAGCCACTCTCCTAAATGAAAAGGTTCACGGAAAATGAATATTTTAAAAAATATACCGAAGATTCAATTTTATTCAAGGCTCATGCGGCTTGAGGGGTGAACTGGTGGGACAGCCTGTCCTACTTCCTGCAATATTTTTAGGCAAGTGTGGTTTTTGGAAGCCCATTTAGGACAGATTTCTCTCTTCACACTAATTGCCAGGCAGGGCTTTGATCTCAGGACTCCAATGACAAGAGGATCCTGGGTGGGCAGTGGTGACCGTTGGTGAAATGAGGGGAGCCCACTAATGGATACTTTATCCCCCAACCCCAAGGGAATGACTTCTTTTGTGATGGAAACCATTGGCTTTAACTCTGCCCAGGCTTCCTGAAATACTCAGGGTATTATATATACCAAGTAGAATTCTCAGCACACAGGATATCACACTAAGCTAGAGCAATGTCAGGAAGACTAACAATTTAACAACAACTGCTTATCATTGTAGACTTTTCGCATAGACTTTTTCGCATCCCTTCTCCTATTGGACCCCCTCTACCAACAATCTTTTTGGGATACTGGGGACAAATTTTTATCCCTATTTTACAGCCCAGGAAACAGATAGACTTTGACTTTTCCAGACTACACCCATCACTAGGCAAATAGCAATACCGAAACTCAGGACCCCTGACCCTTTCTCCTGAAGTTTCCCCAGAACAGAGGGGATAGCACGGGCCCTGAAGTTAAATTATCCTGCTAAAACCTAGGAGGGTAACTAATTTAATTATATTGAAAAGCTTAAAGCAACACAACAACAGCAAATGGAACAGAATTCTCTTATTTTCAAGTGATATTGAAATTTTGGGACATGCTTGTAAAAATAAAAGAAAAACAGCCAGGACCGGTTTGGCTCAGTGGATAGAGCATCAGCCTGCGGACTGAAAGGTCCTGTGTTCGATTCCGGCCAAGGGCATGTACCTTGGTTGCGGGCACATCCCCAGTAGGGGGTGTGCAAGAGGCAGTTGATCGATGATTCTCTCTCATCGATGTTTCTAACTCTCTATCCCTCTCTCTTCCACTCTGTGAAAAATCAATAAAATATATTTAAAAAAATAAAAAATAAAAAAATAAAAATAAAAGAAAAACAATTCTAATAGATTTTGACTAAATTTAGATAAATTAACTAAGCTTGTATTTAATAAAATGAAATAATTCTACTGGAAGTCTCTTTACTTAACCAAACATAAAGTCATGTTATAGCTCAAATGTTCTGCCAATTCCCTTTTTGTTACATTGTCAAAAATGTGCTTTCACCATGTCAAGAATTATCACTTGATATGCACATAGAAATTGCTCAACCACCTCTCACTTAAATATCTTCTTCAGGAACTTGATAAGATGCCAATTACTCTGGTATGGACATTGCTCACTGGTTTGTTCCCCCATAACTGGCTCATTTTGCTCTGAACAATGGCTTCAGGTGGTATCCCTCCTATATTTGGTAAAAAACAAATGCACAAGACAATTAAGAATATCATCTTATTCAGAATATTGCAATAAAGAAAATGTTCATTAATAAAGTATATTTCAAGCAAAGGAAGGGGGTCTGGGATTTTACAGAAGATTTAACAGCTTCTACTTTTACTTGTCTACGAGTCTTGTGGGAGTCTTGAAGAAGAATGGAGATGGTTTTCTCTAAGTTGTTGAGAAAGGATTGAGGGAATTAAGCAAGAGCAGGGTGGTCTTTTGGGGTTAGCTATTTCTTAGAACACAAAAGGGGAAGGGAACTTTTTGACCCTTGCTTTTTGGGAACACAAGGCTCAGATCAAGTTCAACTTTATCAGCCCACCTTTCTGTTCAACATGAATATTTTTCATCACTGAACAACTCAGCAGTGACCATAAACTTTCTGAGTGGGGTGAATTGGGGTTTTAGAAATAGTTTCTAAAGGTATTTATCTTCTGTAAAATCAGTTGAACCATCTGTATAGAAGTGATAGAGTCTGGGAGATCAGACCCCATAGGAAAGAATGAAAAAGAGAAATCCTATATAATAAAGAGATAATATGCAAATTGACTATCACAAGAAGGCTGCCTAGGACCAGGACAGCAGGGGGTTAGTGAGGGATGACCAAATGACTGAACAAGCAGGCTGCATAAGGTGACCAGGCCGGCAAGGGGGGCAGTTGGGTGTGATTAGGCTAGCTGGGTGGGGGGCAGTGAGGGGTGACTAGGCCAGCTGGGGGGCAGTTGAGGATGACCAGGCCGGCAAGGGGAGGGGGGATAGTTAGGAGCAACCAGGCCGGCAGGGAAGAAACAGTTAGGGGCAACCAGGCTGGCAAGGGGTGGGGGGGTAGTTTGGGGTGACCAGGCTGAAAGGAGGGACAGTTAGGGACAATCAGGCTGGCATGCAGAGGCAGTTAGGGGTGATCAGGCCATCAGGGGAGGCAGTAAGGGGTGACCTGGCTGGCGGGGGTGGGGAGGGGTAGGGAGTAGGG